CCTTTTAACAAAAGTACTATGTATGCAACAATTGCAAGTATCAAAGACATTATTTACTGGTCGGTAACTGCCTGCTACAGAACATGAAATACATTTACTGGATTGTTTTTCAGATTGCAGCTGCCCCTTAGCATCCAAAATAATTGATTTCCCACAAAAGCTGCAAAAAAATCCACATAGTGGTTGGTTTAGGTCAATGCTTCTTTTCTCATTATTATTCTTTTTTTCTTCCCCACCGCCCCCACCCCCGCAGTTGCACCGTATTATTAAAAACACTAAGTACCTGGGATTTATGCTTCAGAAAGACATCGTTTGAGTAATTTCAAATGACGTACAGCTCTTCATGTAAAAAAGATGTTTTGTGGTCACAATTACTTCAAAAAGTAATTATATTCAAATAACCTGACATATCATGCTTTAGCAATTACAGAGCCATGATTTTGACACATGGCAATTTATAAGTTAGGCAAATGTGAAATGCTAAAAGACACTACATCTGTATCTTTGGGGTAAATACCCAGTAGTAAAGCTGCCTTGTTTTGATTTATGCAGTCTTAGAGCTGTAGATTGTCTGCGCTTGTGGGTGCTGGAGTTAAACTAAGGGAAACCAAGCATTGCTGTGAGGTACAACCAGCCCCTGCTATCTCCCCTTCTCAGATGGGGTTCAGCTTCACAAGCCTGATGGTCAAGGAAATATTCACTCCCTCCTCCAGAAACACAAATACATTTGCCTTGAGTTAAGGGGCAAGGGAGGAACGAGTCTCTTAAACTATCCTCCACCTTTCCCCCCCATTTTAATTTAAATTCCAGTTAGTTAACGTACAGTGTAATATTAGTTTCAGGTGTACAATAGAGTGAATCAGCACTTACGTACAACACCCAGTGCTCATCCCAAGTGCCCTCCCTAACCCATCACCCATTTAACCCATTCCCCTGTTCCCCCTTTTTAAAAAATGATCCTGTCCAGTGACCTTTTAAGGATGTGGCAGGATAGGGCGCCTGGGTGGCTCAGTTGGTTAGGCGACTGCCTTCGGCTCAGGTCATGATCCCGGAGTCCCGGGATCGAGTCCCACGTCGGGCTCCCTGCTCAGTAAGGGGGCCTGCTTCTCCCTCTGACCCTCCCCCCTCTCATGTACTCTCTCTCTCTCATTCTCTCTCTCTCAAATAAATAAATAAATCTTTAAAAAAAAAAAAAGGATGTGGCAGGATAAAGCTGCCAGAATTTTTTGCTATCTCCTTCCTCTCTGAGGGAGCACACATATTTGGAAAGAAGAGTGAAGAAGACCTGGTGGGTGGCCAGGTCTGTGGACTCTTTATAATGTGCCTTCTTACCCTACTTCATCCCTGGCCTGATGGAGCTGAGCAGTGGGAGACAGGTCGGGATAATATTTAGAAGAAGATAATATTTAGAAGAAAAATAACAAAGTCATTTTTCCTGTGTCACTGATTTGGAAACTAAGACAGTGATTTGCCCGAGGCCTTAGCATGAGTCAACTGAGGCTTTTGACTCCTGATGCCTCAGAGTCTCATGCACTTGCCACATGATCAGAAGTCTTGTGCAATAAATGGATGAGCTTCAGTGACTCCCTATAACAGAATTGATAGGCATCCTGGGGCTTTTTAGTTTTGTTCTTTTCTGGGTTGCCTTTTTTTTTTTCTTAAGTAATCTCTACACCCAACCTGAGGCTCAAACCCACAACCTCAAGATCAAGAGTCACCTGCTCTATCAACGGAGCCCACTAGGTGCCCCCTGAGTTGCCTTGTCTTTGGTGGGCAACAGTGAATCCCGTATTTGAGCTCTGGGCATGGGGCAATTATCTGCACGTGAACACACACTTGGCCCCCTCTTGTTCCCTGTAAGAAGTCTTGTGAGACTAAAATATGCCTCTTTTCTCCTACCCATTTACCCATGCAAACCTTCAGAATTTTTTTTTTTAATTGGTTGATTTGAAAGAGAGCATGAGAGAGAGAGCATGAGTAGGGGGGCAGGGGCAGAGGGAGAGGGAGAAGCAGGCTCCCCGCCGAGCAGGGAGCCTGATATGGGACTCAATCCCAGGACCCTGGGATCATGACTTGAGCCAAAGGTAGATGCTTAACCAACTGAGCCACCCAGGCGCCCACCTTAGGAATTTGGTAGGCAGTAAGCCTCTATGTTCCTCCTGAATGTTGTAAAAAGTTGAATGTGCCCATCCCCCAGTGTGTGAAGAAGAAAACAGTATGGCAAAATGCCACCATCTTACACCACAGGTATGTAGCCAATAATCCAAACGTCCATTGAAGCCGTCATGTGCCCAAGCCATGAGCAGCCATTTATAGGAAGGTGGCACCCAGCAGAAGCTGCTGCCCAGAAGATGTCTTACTGTTTAACAGCAAGGAAATATCCCAATGCTAGTTGGTTCCACTTTGGGCTGAATGGATTCTCATGAACCAGAGTTGCCTCCGACAGGTGGGCACCCTAGCCTGTGGGAAGGGAGTGCAGCAGAGCTTTTGGACTGCTCATCCAAGCAGCTTTCCTCCTCCTTGCCACAAACACCTTTGGACACGTTACTATTTCTTCCCTCATTCAAAGTAATGAGTCCTCTGTTCTCAGCCTTTTCTCCACCTGCCCAGCGACTGAAGCCTCTTCACCACCTGTCATTCTGTCGTAGCCCGACGCCACGGAGGCTGTTATTTCTTATTTTCCTGAACTCAGTACTAATAAGAAATGCCCTCAGTTTAGAGACTTTGCTTCTTTTCCTCCAGGGTTAGCCCAAGCCCCTACAGGGTCACCGGCTAGAATAGTATGAAGAAATGTAAAGGGATCTCAGGATGCAAATGGCTTCCATCATCTGTACAGGAATCGTTGTGTGAGAATGCATGAGACAAATGTATATAAAGCACTTAGTTCAGCTCATGGCACATAGTCAGTACTCAATACTGACCACCATCATCATCATTAGTATCGAAAACTCTTGACCCAGATCCTGAAGTGGCAATATTGCATTTTCTCAAGTTGTTTTCTTTCCTTTTCTTGACACATCATCTTGTCCCCCTATCCAGTCACTTAAAAACAAAACAATGGGCGCCGGGCTGGCTCAGTGGGTGGAGCATGCGACTCTTGATCTTGGGGTTGTAAGTTTGAACCCCACGCTGGGTGTAGAATTACTTGAAAATAAAATCTTAAACAAACAAATAACTACCACCATCTTGGGTCTCTCCTGGGGAAACTGAGGGATGGAGAGGGATCTTTTGGTTCTGTATGGGGTGAGGTCCATCGAGGATACGCTGTAGAATCAGTGTTTCTTAATGGTGCTGAGGTGACCAGGTCTGGGAGGCTGAGGGAGGTATAGCCTGAGTAGAGAAGAGGGAAAATAGGGAGCTAAAGTTGAGAATTGGGGTGTCTTAAGATTAAAAAGGGTACTGATCATTTCATAATATATACAAATATCGAATCATTATGCTGTGCACCTGAAACTGTTATATATCTCAATTTCATAAAGTGAAGAAAAATGAATACATACTGACTTTTTTTTAAGAATAAAAAAGAGGGACTGATGGATGTATCAGGATACATTTATTTGGGGACCAAATGAGCTAAGTGAGCCAGGTAGGAGACTGAAAACTCTTTTAAGTGTAGGTGGCTTTAGGGGAATTTGGAGAGGGGGGTGTGTGGGGATAAGGGGAATTGTTATGGTGGGTTTCAGGGCTGAGGGAGTTGGGGTCCCCAGCGCAAGCGGACCCCCTGAAGAACTGGGTATGGGTAAGAATCAGAGTGGGTGTTGCGACTGAAGGGGGAAGTGCAGAGGGTGTGTTTTGGAGGTGGGGAGGAGCACCGGGGACCTGAAATGGCCTGAAAGTTTCAGATTGGGCCGGGAGGCTAAGGAACTGAGGAGAGGGGCTGGCTTCTCTGGGCTGGTGAGAGCCAGGGCCACCAGTGAGGGCCAGAGGGCTGGGGTCTCTGGGTCGGTCGGGGTGGGGGTGCCTGGGTCTCTAGGCTGCCAAAAGCCCGGGGCCCTGGGTCTCTGGGGCGAGGGGAGCCGGTGTCTGTGCACTGAGTGGGGGGTGGGGGGGTGGCTCTCAGGATCCCGGGCATGGCAAGGGCCTCTGGGCCAAGGAAAGGGAAGGTACAGGTGGGCTCTGTGGGCTGAGGGGATGGCTCTGCCCGGCGGGGGCGGCGGCCTCTCCGGATCCCTGAGATCTGTGGGGGCCTCCGAGGTCCCCGGCCGGAGTGGGTGGAGGGGCTCGGGGTCGCTGAGGAGGCTCGGGAGACCTGGGTCTGTGGGCTGGCACGGGCAGCGGAAAGGGCCCGAGGTCCGCGGGGATCTGGGGGTCCGTGAGGTCTGCGGGCTGAGGGGGTTTCCGCGGCCCGCGGCCCGAGGGGCTGTGAGCCGACAAGGGCTGGGGCTCGGCGGCCCCGGGTCTGCGGGGGTGTCCGGGGTCCCCGGCCGCAGGGGCTGGGGGCTGACGGGCGCCGGGGGGCCCGGGGACGGGAGCCGGAGATCCGGCGGGGGTCCGGGCGCCGGCGGCCCAGCCCGACCGCCGGCCTTGGCGCCGCCCCGCCTGACATCAGTTCCTGCCGCCGCTGCCGCCGCCGCCGCCGCCGCCGCCGC